AAGGAACACCATCATTGCAACATGTCCCCCAAAGAGACACACCCATTTGGGTAAGTCAACATGACAAGACCCGAATGGATTGCAAGCTGTGCCATCTGTAAATTGGACACCGCCGCTTGCGGCTGATTGGGTTGGGAGTTGATCGGGTCTTGGGGTTTGGGAATGGCGAAGGGCTGACATCGAAGCCGGCTCCCTGGGTGCTACATGAATCCGGGGATTCCTAAGTCCTTCTCCATTAAGGGGAAGTGAAGCCCAGTTTCAAGCAATTCACCCAAAGGGCCACATCTTTGGAACCAAGACTGCCGCAGACCTTTTGCCCGAAGAGACCATGTCCACGACTCTGGTTAGCGAACCTTATGTAATTTCAACCTTCAAGATCGGAACCACAACCCAAGGATCTAGCACAACTGGAAACGGTAAAGTCGATTCGTGCCCTGCAAATCGGATGCCTCGATGTCTTCTTGCCCAGTCATGAAGATCAGGATCTCAGCGCACAAGTCCGATGGCCGTGTCTAAATCCCTTGGACAAAACGACCCTCTCCCGTGCAAAAAGTCAAATTGTTCTGGGTTGAAAACGGAACATCAAGGAAAGCACAAAGGGCAAAGGGCCAAAAGGCGAGTTGAGTGCTTCAATGATTGGACGGAACTGTTCATTTATCGCCCCCCTTCATGTGTCTTCCCGTCACTTCCGGGGTGTTTCAAAAGGTTGCTGATGGCCTGAAAGGTTATGTGCAACCCCAAAGGGACATATTGTGCCCTTGAGGTACATCAAGTATGTCCAGAAACTTGGGAAGCATCGCGAGTAACACTCAGTTGGCATCCCCCCTTCAATGGGTACAGAACGCACACTTCAACCAAACCACCAAGAAAACAAGCAAAACATATAAACCAACAACCAACTAAGCAAACCAAACAAACCAAAACAAAGCAAACAAAAGCAAACCGAACAAATAAACACACGAGACAACCAAACTAAATAAGCGCCCGTAGAGGATTGAGCCCCGGGCATCACCTTGGTCTTGACCTCGGACAGTCAGTCCGACGCCGACAGATCTGGTAGGTGGGGGCCCGGATTAATAACCCGTCCTATTGAAAGTAAGGTGTGACCCACACAAGTGAACAACTCCCATGCCACATCGCGGTATTATGGGTATTAATGGGTAAATACAGGAAATGTAACACCATCCACGCATGGGTACCTTGCCCGATATAAGTTTGTGTTTTCCCCTAGAGGCGAGTTATCACTGGCGCTTGCCTTTCGAATCGGGCGGCTGGAAAGGGAAGATTGCCAAGTGACGTAGCCCATATGGGTATTCTCAAAACTTGGAACCCCTCCAGGTGGCTGGCTTCCTTTTTTGGTCCCCTTTTAACTCCATCCAAAAAGGGGCCCGGTGTTTGTGTTTGAGACAGCCCAAATATGTTGCCTTCCTGGTAGAGTCCTGGTAGAGTAGCCACTGGAGGTACGGTCGAAAAACACGAAGGCTTGCGCCAAGAGGACATGGGAGATTTAGTGGGGCCCCTCGTTGTGTGCTCAACAATTCATGCGTTTTCCCATCTCGTCCGAACACCCAATAATGAACCATAGACAAATCAGGAACCTCCAGACCAACTCTCACACGCTACTGCCTGATTGGCACGGCCCCAAAATCTCTGCAACTATCAGCGGAATCTCCTTTTGGGGATCGCCATTGTGGGCTCCATGTCAATTCGCAGGAAGGTCAAACCTCTGAGGCCTGCGCCCACATGGATCGCGATTGCTTGCTGCACCGCAGCATCCACATAGTCCTGCATGCCATCTGAGGCGCTGTCAAAAATACGGCAACCTATTTTGGGACAGTGCCGCCTTGTGCCACCCTTTAAGGGGGATGCCAGCCCTACTTTTATTCCTAAGCTGGAAGCAAATCGCTTGTTGAATCCCTAGGTGAGCTCGTGATAATTTGTCCAAATGCGTGAGACGCTTTGCTGGATCCGCCGCGACGGGATGGGGCTAGAAGGGCTTGAAAGCATGGTGTTCCATCACTGTCACCACAAACTATCTTCTTTGGAAAGTGGGACCCAACGTAGACCTTAACCCATGGGGGGGTTCCCTTTTGGGGACTCAGCCACCCTGTTTGGGACCTTGACGGGGCAAAGAGTTGGATGGGAAGGATCATGGGATGGGTTGTTTCACGAGAAAACTGCAGGGAACCCACCCATGTTGGTGGTCTTACTCACTCACATGCGTTCGGGCACAAGGACCCCCAATCGCAAGCCACTCTAAAAGGTAAGCCGTTGCCGGCTTTCGGATGGGCGCCGGGCGGTCCAGTCGAAACGGGGACCCACACAAGCAGGTAAAAAGCAAACCTCAACACCATGGCATTGGCTCCCCAATACACTGCACACAGCCGCTCAACTAATACTAACTCATGCTAGATGGTCCTTTGTTAAAATAAACCATATAGAAACTGACGTGTCAGGGACGCCCACATCGGCTTGCCCTTCAGGCGCTTCCAGCAAAGGCGTTGCACTTCACGGTTGTCTCCAGCTCGGTTGGAGAAACACTGCTGCGTGGGAAGCCTCGCTGCTATACTTTCGAGTTGCTTGTCCTGAAGCATCCTGGGGCAGTGTTGGGCCTTCCAGTAATACTAGACAGTCTCCCCCCCAGAAACTATGAGAATCATATTAGTTGCACTTGTGATTCTCATTTTGTCATGTATCTCTCAACAACTGAAGAGTATCTTTGGCGGCCAATTGCAATACACCGCTCCATTACAGCGGCCAGGATCCCACATGTCAGTTTAGTTTCTGACGTCTTGGTGGCGTTTAAGCCAAAACAAATACAAAGAATTAGTTAAAGAATCAGATGAGTCAGATTAATTATTGGCAATACCAAGCTTGGAATTGGCAGCACTAGATTAGGTACTGATAATATGAGATTAAGTCTTCAATACTAAACCTAGAATTGGCAATACTAAATTAACGACCTGGAATCTGACATCCAAGCTCAAGTTGAACCCAGACTCTGATATTTTCAACTAAAAGGGGTCACCATGCATTAAAGAAGGTCCAACATTCGCACATGCCTCTTGGCCCCCTGCAAAAAGTTCAACATTTTGGGGGTTTAGTGGAAAACCCCTTGATTTCCCAAAAAGTTAGTCTAAAGAGCCAACCCAATAGCAGTTAAGTTTTGGTCTCCCCTTGGCTAAAAACATGGGCCACTTAGCACCCAGCTTCTCCTTGCCCATGCTATTCGAAGCCGGTCCTGCGCGGTCGTCCTCGCATAGAAGGTCTCCACCTGAGCGAAGCAATCTCATGCTACCCTCACCTTCAAGAAACTGGGTGAATGAGCCTATGAGTCTCCAGTAGGTCGCCTTGCTTACCCTTGACTTTTCAACCATGGGGTGATCCATGGCTTGTCTGAGGCAAATCTCCTGAATAGTATGGGTGAATTATAATATTTCACCAGCCTGGGCCCAGAAAAAAGGTTCTGGATTTCCAGATTTCCGCAAGGGGTTCTGTCCAAACCTTGGTCTGGGCGTGAAACAATCGGTCTGCTTTTAGCAGCCCCCTACCAAAAACGGCCAGAACAACAAAAACAAAATGCCGAGCGGACAGGGTTCCTTAGTCACCTCGCGAGGAAGCGATGTGGAATTTGAAGTTGAACGTTGAATACCACCCAAAGGGGCAAACATGAAAAGTCATGCACTCCGATAGCCCTCCAAAGGCATAGTTGCCTTCTTGGCCATCAGTCCCTCGCCCCTCTGGATATGCATGGGTTGAGCACCCCGAAGGCCAAGAAATGCTGGCCCCAGGAACAAGGTAGGTTAAAGGGAACAACCCAGGGTTCTCACTTTGATAACCCACGAGCAAACAAAATAATGACTCCAGTACTGGACCGAGATTGGTGAGCTCTGGTTAGATCTAGGGACCCCCCCCCTTGCCATCATAAGCTCCGCGCAGGGAAGGTCCGACCTAGCACAAGCCGGGGGCGAAGTGACTGGCGTGTGTGCACCCACAGTGACAAGGAACCACACGAAAGCCGACCCATGGAAAAAGCGGAAACAAGTAGCAAGACGAAGAACGTCTTCTTTCTTTGGCGACTCTGGGGGAATTGGAGCCTAGCTTTGCATATCCTGAAGTTTTCAGAAATTCAACTTCCCCTTGTTCGCTTTCGAGATTACCCTCCTGCATGTGTCTTTCCCGCTGTGTGGTGCATCTCAAGAGGGAATGGGCCTGCTACGCTTTCAGCACTTCTTCGGACTCCACAAAGCCGTCATTTGCAGAGAATCTCCTTTGGGGGGACCCCCCTCGGGTTCCATGTTTCTCCTACAGGCAAGGTGGCATTTCAAGAAGACCGCTTTGAATTACGTCCTCCACGTTGCGACAACAAAACTGCTCTGTGTGCAATCCAAAGTGACTTTTCCTCTGTGGGGAAAGTCTTCTTGTTTGGTGGTTTCCCTGATGGGCATCCCATGTAAAGGACTTTGTGATCAACCCCCACATGGGCCACTGGAAAACCAAGAGTTCGAAGAGGTATGCAGCTATAAGCTATGACTGTGGCCGGGGATGTTGAAGACAGGCACGTTGCCGAAGAACCTGGCCGTGCAGCTTTCCAGTCTTCGGCATACGCTTCGCACGAGTCTCATAGTGCGCCTATGAGTTCACCTGGAACCCGGACCAAAACCATGTGGGTTTCCACGAAGCTCATGTTGGTGTAATTTTGGGCTTCATGAACAAAAACGCGGGGAGGAGGGGGGGGGGGTTGAAATGCCCACCTGAGTGTCTTTTTGAGGTGTCCCTTGTCCCTGAAGAAATCAAACGCTAAGCTTTGTTTGACTCATTGACGCCAAAGGAGCCTTCCAAGGGTCCAAGGGCTTCTCTCAAAGCATCCACGGATTGATTTGAAGAGACCTGGAAGTTTTTGTCTTCTTGGGCCATGAATTGACATTTGTGTCTCATGAAGGCTCCAAAAGGTCAAGGGCCCTTCGGCACACAAAGGCCAAGATGTACTGAAGTGGGTCTCAGAAGCCCAGAGCCTGCGGCCGAAAAGCCCCCCCCCAACCCCCCGCCACAAAAACCCTCAGTGGCCATGAGTGTTGTTTGTTGTTTTTGCTTTCTCTCTTTTTTGGTGGGAGGGCGGGGAAAAGGGGGGGTTGACACCCCCTCGAACATTTCGGAAAAAGGAAGGCAACCCAGCCAATCATGGCTGATCGGAGGGGTTTGGAAGACGAAAACTTTCCCGTTCAAGTTTGCTCCCCCATGCACTTCCAGGATTAATTGGCAACTGAGTCAGTATCAAAACCTGGTACAAAAATGGTCGACCCAGAACCATGTAAAGAACTAAGAAGGCGGCCGCAACTATTTCCCTCCAAGTACCCGGGTTTTCATTGAAGCACAACTGGCTTTTCTAGAGAGCAAATGGGAAGCCACCCACCCTCCGAGCTCATCCACTACCAAATAGAGGGAAGCCCATTGTTCCAAAACTTGCTGGCGCGATAGGCAGGGAATGAGAAATGGATTGACCCCAAGAAACAAAACATCCAACTGGTGGTTTCCTTGGAGGGGACCAAAGCCTGGGTTCATTTCCACATTCCCTGAGCACCAGCAAGAGCACTTGTCTTTTGTAAGGAGACCACCGGCCGAGCTTCGGAGCTGCGGAGCTACAGGGCCTGGCGAACTTCTCCGCATCCATCGTGGCGGAGGTGATGATCAGCTTGAAATCCTGGGGATTTAGCACTGATTTTTGGACGGCCAGGACTAGAATTGGAGTGGCGTGTACTTTTCGGGCCAAGTTTGGAAGGCGAGCATTCCCTAAAAGTCAAATGGCCATGCCTCCAAAGGATTGGGGTTACCAGGGGGCCATTGCCAGCTCTAACTCCAGCTTTGGTTCCATGTCAAAAGCTATTTCCTTGTTCATACGGCAAGGAAAGAACTTGCTGGTGCTTAGTAGGGTAACCTTTTGGGACGTTTACACAATTTGGACTTGAATGGGAAAACCAAAAGGTCAAAAGGTTGATTCGCTTTGGGCAACTGAGAACATGCTAAACAAACCTGTTGCCCAGAAAAAAAGGCCGAGGCCATTTTGGTTGTATCCGAGGCGCGTGTCGGCGGCCCACCACAGAGCGCAGCACCTCAACGCTCAAACGAGTTCACAACAAAAGCGGGTGGATACATCTCCAATGACTTGGTACTGCAAGGGCTTAAATGGCTGTGGGTCAAAACCCTGTACCCCTGGTGAACAGAAAAATAGGCGGCACATGGGTGTTCATCGATCCGCCCCAAAATGGAGGCATAGGTTATGACCCATGGCCAAATGCGAATTCTATTGGGAGCCCCTTTGACGGACGTCATGTTGGCTGGGATTTATGTCCACCAACTACTTTTGACCTGGTTCATTATCAAACATCACTGCCAAATAAGCAGTTGCTCTTCCCTCCCGAGCACAAAATGTCGATCACCCGTTGTAGGCAGGTTTAATTACTGAACACTTGTTTAAACAATGTCTGTAAGGGGCGATTTGGTCACATCAAAGACCCGCCATATCAACAATAACCGGAGTAGGGTTGTGGGGTACTCTTAAAACAAAATACCTCATGGGTGAGTCATGTAGGAATATTCAATTCCAACCCATTTTGGCTTGGTCGTTCCCCTTACGCTCATCAAGGGAACTCTGCCACCTACTTCACGGTATAAACTGGAACCTCGCTGGAAGGGAGTCGACCACTTTCCCTACGGAAGGGGCCCATGTGCCTTGATGTAAAGTGGCCCCTTGGCAGATAGGAATGTTGGTGAGAGCCAACAGATGAGAAAAACATGGAAAAACCACGAAGAGAAAAAACAGAAAGAACTTGCAAATGGTCACATCGGAAGTGACGCTCCCGCATCCTTTCTTGGCACCCCGAGGTACGAAACTGTCAGGTTCAGCTTATGCTTCATATTTTTTGGTCGACCTAAAATGACATATTTTCAGATCCTGCTTTATATTTGTCAAGCCGCAACTTCACAGGGATCACTGGATGTCCAAAAGTTCAAATTTTGCTGGTGGCTTCCAGTGAAACAGCCACTTTTGGAGATTCCAAAAGGGAAATGGAGGAAAACCATGCTTCTAGGGGTTGATCCCCCATTCTTTTCAACCATCGTTCTTTCCAAAACCGGCCGTTTTCCCCGGGTTGCCGGAGGTTTTCTAGAAAGCAGGATCCCCCTTCCCCCGCTTCCACGCACATTCTCCACAGGTGCCCGGTTTCTGCGGCAAAGGCACTCCGAAGAGGACGTCCGTGTTCAAGGATCGCTCGTGGGCCTCGTCCATGATCACCGCCTAGCCACTTCTGATTCTTCTAGGGGTACCTTCCCGTGAACCCAGTGAACCCAGTGGGAGTGAACCCAGTGAACCCAGTGAACCAAGTTGGAAGTGTCATAGCCCTATTCTAGGGGTACCTTCCATTCTTTCCAGGGATCCGAATCTTTTCAGGAAACCATCAAAAACCCCAGGGGAAACAGACCCGGTTTTTGAAAAGAACGATGGTTGAAAGGAATGGGGAATGAACCCCTAGAATTCTCAGTTTCCGGAATGGATTGCCCCAAAAACTCACATTCTGAGTGGATGGGCCCAAAAATCATGACTAGGCTTGGGCCCAGTTATAGAATGTATTTTCTAGTGGTTGCTTCCCTTTGAGTCGCTGGTAAATTGTAGATTGTATCCTAAGTCTACCCTAGAAACAGTCATTGTTTTGTTGTCTGCCACTAAATTGGTCTTCCAAAAACGCTTCAAGTCCAGGGACTCAGGGAGTGAGAAAAGTAAACAAACCGTTTGTTTGTCACCAAAATGGTTTGCTACTATGGTCCATGCATGAAATATATTGTAGTGCAGGAACTGAGGAAGTGGGTATGCTTCCCAAAACCAAGCTTTTGGGAAACACAAACTTGTATAGCTTGGATATGTAGATGGCACTGGTACGTGCTTAAGACCCAAAATTATTGGAATCCATTCCATTCTCAGTTCCAAGCTCAACAACTTCCATTTGCTCAAGTCCCCAGGAAAACATTGGTAGATTCCCTTTAAAAACAACAGTGGAAAATAAACGCATTCTTAAGCAAATGGAAGACAAAGAAGCTTTGGACATTCCGCTGGGTCTTGTCCAACACATCGCTTTGGAGTCCCAGGAGTTGGTGCGTCGCTTTGTTTCTCCGGCCCGAATCAACTGCCCCGCCCAGCAGAGCCCACACACGACGAATACATGCGTAATACATGCGAAAATAATCTGATCCACATGCCGAAAATTATACATGAATGCATAAAACACATAATTCAACAGTACCGGTTGAGGGGATTCACAATTCAAATTCGTTGAATGGGGATCAGCCCCCCTCAACAAACATTAAGCAAACAAACACAACTGGATAATTTTAAATGAAAACCCTTCCCCAACTTTAAGCAAGTGGAATTCACTGAGCAACTCGGGCTTGTGCTTGATTCTAGCCAAACATACCTAGGAACCGCAACCTAAATTTTCTTCGAAAGAGATTCAAGGGGAAGTTCACCAGCGCAGAAGTGAAACATGTATGTACTTCCCACCTTTGGCCACCCAAGCTAGTACATTGGAATTACCAACCACGCCTGCCGAGACAAAAAACAACATGTGGACCACCCGACTCTTCGGGGAACCGCCCCCCCCCCCCCACCCGAAAAAAAGGCACTTCGGCATGCACAAGCGACCCGCCAAAACAGGGCAGCACTGATTCGCCATTCAAAAGGGACACCCGTCCCAATGGCAAAGGGAAACGCAAGAAAGAAGTGCAATCCGTGACAAAGGGAATCTCTCCCCCGCCCAAAAAAAAAAACAAGATGGCTCTTCGAAAGGGAACCTTGACAAGCAGGGCCCTTCCCCACAAAACCGTTTTGAGCCAAGACTGGGCCAGCAATATTTGTGTGACCCGTATCATTGGGCTCGTTCTATCAAAAGGCTCCTTTCGGCTGCAGAAAGCCACCTTGGTGTCTCCATGGCCCTAAAGCCGGGGGCATGATCCCTTTGTTTTGGGTAAGGACTCCCGACTCCGGGAACCCTTTACGATCCCTTGAAACTGGCACCAGTCCTTGTCGCCATCGCGAGACTTCGCTCGCGCATTCGCGTCCGAGCGCCCCGGCGCAGTATCGATCCAGGTCGGGCTCGAAGAGGGTCTCGCGCAACAGCACGCCATCAGTCATGTACCTTGGCGACGGTCGTTCAGGATTTGACCACCTTTGGTTTCCACTGGATAAACAACACTTATGGCCAAGCAACCATTGATCAAACGTGTTCAAATTGCTTGAGCATGTTCTACCATGTTCTTACAGACTTCCTGATAGCTCCTTGGCTCCCTGTTTAGAGGCAAATTGGTATACCCCCAGCTCCGAGTCCGGCCTTCCAACCAGCAACTGGTGCTTAAGCAGCCTTTCCTTGGTCTCCCTAGGCTGGTTCTTCAAACCGGTCTTGGCCGGCCGTTTCCACTACCCCAAAACTACGACCGGGAGTCGAGGGAAACGGGCTACAGGTTCTAAGCAACTTGCTTTATGGGTGTTTTTCCGATTTGGTACCCCTTTATTGATGTTTTTCAAAGGGAAACCCTTCTTCTTCTGTTCTTTTTCTTTTGTGGGGGGTGATCCCCTAAGAAAAGACTACACCTCTAGTGGTTGTATACCTCTAATTCTCGGTAGTGCTTTCGGTATGCATTCTGCGGGGTGGACCGTCCCTGCCTCTAAGACTCTAAGCTGAGGAGGTCCGTGTTTTGGGCGGTGGGAACAAGGACGAGCCTTGGGCAGGGAACTAAGGAAACATGGCATGTATTGATGCCTGCGCTGCTTCGGGCAGGCAAGTTTTGCTCTTTGTGGGCACGAGAAAGCAGCCCTACTGCATGAGAGACATGCAAAGCGCCTAGGTATCGATTTGAACAAAACAGACAGCACTGGCAAGAACCAAAGTGACACCAGTGGCTAGGTTCAGCCAAGCTGAGGGAAGAAGCACGATTTACAGCGAGTCGTTCACAAGACATCTAGAAAACTCCAGCACGCGCTGAAAGCCAAAGCCGAGTTGCTTGATGATGGTCGACTCACTGGTGCAGTCCTGCGAAACTGGGCCATGCGAGTGGGCCCAATTGAAAATA